TTGAGACAGAGTCTCAAGCTGTTGCCCCGGGTAAAGTGCTGTGGCATCACAGCTCACAGCAACCTCAAACTCTTGGGCTTAAGCAATTCTCTTGCCACAGCGTCCCAAGTAGCTGGGACTACAGGTGCCCACCACAATGCCCAGCTATTTTTGGATTATAGTTGTCATTGTTTTTGGCAGGTCTGGGCTGGATTCAAAGCCGTCAGCTCTGGTGTTTGTGGCTGGCGCCCTAGCCGCTTGAGCTACAGGCGCCCAGCCAAGAAGTGGGCAATTTTTATGATTAACCTTTCCATACTTGTTTCATATTATATCCTAGAAAGATGCCAAAAGCTGCATAGTTACAAAAGAAATTATAAATTCCATTACAGGAACTAAAAATTACAAAGTCCAAAATAATGACCTGTTATTTCCTGTTTGAATTTTCCCTGAAATGTTTCTCGCACTTTATCTGTCACCTATCTTAATTTTTATTTCTAAGATGTAAATCTTTGAGGAATTTCATGCGGGTTTTACAATGATTGTTTTAAGGTACATGGAATTGATAGGTCATTAGTTCTACTTACTACAGAAAGTCCCTGAGCTACTAACATCCCACTGACATGCGGGTCACTTACAAGTGGGGATAAGAGGTACCTGTTCCAGCTTGCAACAGATTCAGCTGAGAACAAACCTATCAGCTGAACATATCTTGTTTACAACCTGGAGACCACCTGTAATCTGATTAAAGAACCTATCTTGTTTACAACCTGGAGACCACCTGTAATCTGATTAAAGTCTTGAGTCAAAGTGTTTAGCTTATTTAGATACTTTGATTTCCAGAGCAAAGAAAACATAGGAGGCTAGAATCAAGTACGTGCCAGTTCATCTTCGTTTTCAAGCGGAAGCAAACTGGAATTCTGAGAAACACAGAATTTCCTACTTTCTTTCCAAGTTTTCTCTTCAGTCGAAATGAAGTAACAGTTGCATTTGTACCCAACCCACTTCTCTGGGCAATACCAGCAGTCAGAGGCTAAGAGAAAAAAATAAAACATCACAAATAACATCGGATATTTCAATTTTTTTATTAATATTTAATAAAAATAATTTTCTGTTTATTCATTTTTCTATAAATATTCTTTAAGAATCTTCTCTATACCACTGTTCAGGGGCTATTAATATGAACAGATTATATATGATAGTTTCTTCTCATAAAGATTATGTTTCAAGGATAGATTCAGAATTATATAATTTCCAATTATTTATTAACTATGTATAATGGTATTTAGGTTAGTTTACAAAAGAAATGCAGTATGTTAAAACAGCACACGGTAGCATATACAATAGGGGCATTAGAGGAACTTTATTTGAAAGATATGACCCAAAGCTGAGCACTGTAGTATAAATAGGAGTTAAACAAATAAAAGAAAGATTTAAAGGAGGAAACTATTTTAGAATAGTTCCCGTGTCAGAAGAGAATATTGTACAATGGAAGAATTTTGATAAAGATTTGGACATTTTACTATTAAAAAAAAGATAAGCAAATTAATCAGTTTAAGGTCTGCTTAGACAGTTTATCAGTGATGTCTTCATCACTACTGGTCCACAGTAATGCTAGTCATGACACATGGCAGTCACTCAAATCTTTGCCTTGTAAGTGGTGGTGAGGTGTTGAGATAAGATAAAAAATATAAATGAAGTCCTGTGTTGAGATAAGATAAAAAATATAAATGAAGTCCTGAAGTCCTGAAAAAATATAAATGGATCACAGAAGATGGTGAGAAAGCATGGAGAGAATTTGAGGAAAAATATACCTAAGACATTGCACTTTGAGTTGCATTCACTGGATGAGGAAGGCTTAGAATTGCAGAAATCTGTGCATTGTATTCTGTGTCATAAAAGAAGCAAAAGAAAGGTAAAGAGACAGGAAAGTAGAGGTTATACAGACAGGTAATAGAGATAAGCTGTAATATTTACTGTGGACTTTTATTTGTTACTTAATCTTGAGCACTTACATAGGAAACATAGCTGTTATTTCAGGCTACCATTTTTCTTATTAATTGTATATGAATAATTATTTCCTTATTAATATATAAATGATACACATTCAATATAGTTTAATCATATTTACATTAGAGAACAATAAAATGAGACTACCCTATAGTTAATAGGAAAATGTGTATTACCAAATATAGTATTTATTTTATCTTGCTCTTTTATGTTTTTTTTTTTTTTTTTCCTTCTAGAGACAGAGTCTCACTTTGTCATCCTTGGTAGGGTGCTATGGCATCATAGCTCACAACAACCTCAAACTCCTGGGCTTCAGCGATTCTCTTGCCTCAGCCTCCCAAGTAACTGGGACTACAGGCATCCGATCCAGTGTCCAGCTATTTTTAGAGATGAGGTCTCACTCTAGCTCAGGCTGGTCTTCAACCTGTGAGCTCAGGCAATCCACCTGCCAGGGCCTCCCAAGTGCTGGGATTACAGGTGTGTCCCACTGTGCCTGGTCCACCTTCTATTTTATGTAAAAAACCAAAAGACTGTTGAACCTACCTTCCTGGAGTTCTTTGTTGGGGCCTGGAAAGATGGTTGAGTCATTATGCGGTTTAGTAAATGCTATAAGAAATGATTAGAAATTTTGTTAATTAGGTATGTGTTTATGAAATAATAAAATAGTACATACTCAGTATTAATAAAATGAAATTTTCATTATTAAATTATATCCTTAAAGTTTTGATTTTTGCATAGACTTCTCTAGAAAAACTTACAAATGATCAACAAAATTCCCAAAGTAGCCGCCAACAAAAGGCATATTAGTCCTAAGGTCCCAGAAATCAACCTCCACTGAGTCGTCTGAAACACTGTGGAGAAAGACAAACAGAACAATGATTTAAAGGACAAACACAGGGGCTGAAGTTCTTAAAAACAGAGTTCAGTGAGTAGCATCCAAAAAGTTCTTGCATTTGATAATGGCTAACTCATCAATAAAACTCTAAAAGATGAAGACATTCTGTCAGGACTTCACCCACTATCAACATTTTTGCGCCATGTACCTTGTTCTTCAGTGTGATTATCCATATGTTTTCTCCTGTCTCAGCTCTGCCTCAATCATGAAGATTTACCAGCTTTCTTTTTTCTGAGACAGGATCTCACTCAGTCACGCTGGTAGAGTGGTATGGCATCACAGCTCACAGCAACCTCAAACTCTTGGGTCAAGCAATCCTCCTGCCTCAGCTTCCTGAGTAGCTGGGCCTATAGGCGCCCACTACAATGCTTGGCTACTTTTTCTATTTTTCATAAAGGAGGGGGGTCTCACTCTTGCTCAGACTAGTCTGAAACTCCTGAGGTCAGGTGATCCGCCTGCCTTGGACTCTCAAAGTGCAAGGTTTACAGGCATGAGCCACTGCACCCAACTTACAGCTTTTAAAAAAACTGTCTGAGAAACATAAGGTCTGGGATAAGAAGTCAAGAAGCACCAATTTGTGTTATATGGGCTTATGTAATAGGTATTTACTTATATTCTTTCAACATACTCAGATGATAGTATAAAACCACTAGGTGGATGAGAAAACAGAGTCCAATAATAATCTTATTTTCTAAGGTATCAACCTAGTATGTATCCAACCCAGGAATCAAGTGAGTATGCTTAGGCCCAGACTCTTTCACTTAACATATTCTATCATTGTTACAATAATATTACTTAGGAGTGTGCCTTCTCCTAATCTTCAACAGGCTCTGCTCTGATAAATGTCTATGGGTTTGGTGAGATATTACAGGGAAGAGAAAGAATAGGAACATTCTGGACTTTGAATGATGACTGGTTCTACAACCAATGAATGGGTAGTGTCTTAGGGAACTGGGTTCACTTCAAAGTACATTGAATTATAATACATAAGCTATTTTTTTCCAAGAGCATGACATTTACTCATACTCAAAATTATTTGCTTAAAGGCTTTATCCCTAAGACATTTTAATATTAGGAAATTCTGCACCAATGCTAGCACAGTCTCAAGAAGTGATGCTGTTGCTAACGACAGTGTAATGTGTCAAACTGTTAATCAGTGTAATTTTTGGATATCATAACACTAAGAATAAATTTACAAATCTTTTAAGCATCGTGTCGTTAATATTTGGCATTCTCTATTTATTTCCATGCTAGAATTCCGTTGTTCACAATTTAACCAGGTCAGTTTGATTCTCACTCAGAATTTAGAGATAGCCCTGAAGTCACTTTTTGAAACTGTTGGAAAAGTTTTACAAACTCATGTCTAAGTTACAGAATCAAGAATCAGGAAACTAAGATGAATGTGGAAAGTGCCGATACACATGAAAAACCTAAACATACCCACTGTTAACAATGTCCTTTTCTCTTAAAGCACTGCCCCCAAATTAGCCAATCCATGAAATACCTTTTCTGGTTACCTTTGTTTAAAATTTTGTGACTAGGGTCACACATACCTGCCATGAGAAATGACCAAGGTCAATGCAGAGAAGACACGACGTCTGCTTGTTCAGGAAGAACGGTTGTCAGAGCATGGGAGCTGAGCTGGATGTTAAGGAATCCTAATGTTGACTGCGAAAAAATTCAACATCTAAAGAGAAAGAAAAGTTTGTGTATTTAATTGATGCTCCTTAATCATCTATTGGTGAGATATGCTGGTGTGGCGCAGATAAGAAGCAGCGAAGCAAATCACAAAAGCTTTCAGTTTGTTCAAGGAACTAAATCACAGGAAATCCTCACAGTACTTTTATAAGGCTAACACTTTGACCAGCACTTAAAAAGGTGAGAGGGAGATTTTTTTTTTTTTCAATGTTTGAATATCAAAGTCATCTCCAAAGGTTTCTTGGAAAATGAGGAGTAATGAGCAAACCAAAGGTATATTTATTTATTATAACAAATTTCTGTGCAGAATTTTCCTCTTTAAATAGTAACAGATGTTTATTATCTACCTTGTGAACAATGCAGTTTAAAGCACTTGGCATATGTTAGGTTCGTTTATTTCTTTTAATGGCTTCAAACTGAAGATGCTTGGATGTAGAGGCAATCTGGCTGAAACAGCTGTCACCCCACTGATCACTTATGTTGATCTGGCTGGCTAGGCAGGTGTCCCCTTCCTCCCTCAATGCTCCAGGTGCATCCTTCTCGCACCTATGCACCTGTGCACTCAGTCGAAGAAGATAACCTTCCCCAGTACAGAAGTTCAGACTTAAGCCAAAAATAAAATAACTGAACACACACCTATACACAGATCAACACCAATGTCGTGCGTGTGTATTTATATATATACAACCCCTCCCTTTCATTCTTTCTGAATTGCTAAGCCTGGTTGATGCTGTGATTCCTTTTTGTTCCTCAGTAGGCGAATGGGTTTGACATTTTACACTCAGTATCCCTACCACTCATCTGGACTCTCAAGCAAGGTCATTATTGCCCTGCCCTTGTCCCTTGAAATACTGGCTTAACTGTGGACAACTAGTATCTGCATCACTATCGACGGGACTTTTTTCTCCTAGAATGTTTTGCTTCTATTATGTGTGGCAGCCAAGAATCATCTAAATAATTATCACCAGGATGGGCCTCCATCACGGAATCTCAGGATGTAGTACTGGATAACCCAGCAATTTCGGCCCTACAGGGAGGCAATTCTGAACATTATGTTCTGCCCCATTTCCCAGAATCACTCAACAATGCTAAGCTCCAGCTGCCTACTCTAAGTTAAGAAAACATCTATCACATACTGCCTTCCTTTCCCATAGTAATACTCCCTTTCCTACCTTTATTCAGTACACATTCCAAATAAACATAACACTGAAAACCATTCTCAGGATCTGCTGTAGAGAGAAACCAGACTATTCCACCACAATGTCCAGCTTTATGTCTATAAATTTGCTTCTAATAAGTTAAGTATTCATCCAAAGGAACATCTCTCTTTACAGGGCCTCTCCTCCCCCAGTGTCCACTGCAGACAACCACCCTCTACCTCCCCTGTGATTACCAATACACTTGTTCCAAGCAAGTGATGACTTTAATAACTAAAACACCTTTGAAACAGCAAAATGCTAGAGAAAGAAACTAATATCCACTTAAATCATAATCAGTGAAGTCATTTTTCTTATCTAGAAATTTGTAACTAAAATGTTGCAGAACATAATAACAATTGTTAATCATAGGCTATATAGGTTTTCCTTTAAAAAATATGGCTTTAAAATAAATGAATGGTAAGTTTCAAAAGAAAAAAATAAATAAATGAGAAATAAGCTTTCTTGCCACACTTTTTAAATAAGGAATCTTAGGTTAGACTTAAAGCCTCTTGAGCTAAGCCAAAGATTTAACCACCTGTAGAACTGGGTTAATTCTTTTTTTCTCCAATTCCCAAAGTAACTTGTCAGAAAGTGACATTTTTTTACTTACCACAGATCAGGAAATGTTATAGTTGAGGTATCAGGCCAATTTTTTCAGAGAGCTTTTATTGACCTTATAAAGTCAAACTAGTTCTTTAAAACAGTCTGTTCCTTTCTGAAAATATGCTATTCCAGCGTCTGCAATTTTGTACTTTTAGAAAACAGAATATACAATAACATTATTATTAATTAATAATACAATAATAGTTAATACAATAACAATTCATAATATAATAATATTGTATTGTTAATATAATAATGAAATGTACTATTACATTTTATGGCAATATAATTATATTATAATCATACTATAATTATATTACAATATAATTACATTATAACTATAATGTAATTACATAATATGCATTAATAGTTTGCAAATGTTGGAGAAATCAAGTAAAGGGAAAATTCATGTTTCCAATTATTTATACAACTATACTTTTCCAATTTGTTGTAAGGTGTAAATAGCTGAAAAGAAGGGAAACAGTCTTTTGACTTCTGGAAAATGAAATACCAAAACAATCAGTAATGTTTAAGCAAAAGTCATAAAAATGTAGTTTAGTTCCATGTTATTAATTTTTTTCTGCTTGAGGTTGGGTTAGTAATCCTCAGGAATGCATCCCCTTTTAAATAAAGTCTTAGAAGTTTTCTTCTCATGGTATGATATTCTAAGTTATTGTCTGCATCCATATTTAAAGGTACCTGTAAAAGTCTTTTTCTATAAATTTCCTTAAAGAAGCAAATGTTAGAAGATAGTCATTTAAAAATCACTGTTTGAGAGGAATCGAAGTAAAACAATAATTGTTTGTGGATGACAAAAGTCATAGAATTGTCATGGTTAAAGAGAAAATGTACAAAGAAATTTGGTTAAAAATTAGGGGGCACATAACACTTTAACTTAATAACCATAATTATTACTGATAATGTACATCAAGACATCATAATATTAGGAATCTCATACAATTTTGGAATACATATTAAAAATATATTTATATATAACTCAAAAACAATTGAAGACCATTTCACATTTGACTATTTCCAATATAGTTTTAAGATACCAAATAAGCTGGATGCTCCTCTCTTGGACTTTCAATGGCTCTATTTTTTTTTAAAACCTAGTCTTAGGTCAAAAAGACTGAATTTCGAATTTTTATCTCAGGAAATTTGTCAAATATCAAAGGTCTAAACCACTTGTCATAAAACAAGATCATAAGTTTACTATAAAACAAATGTCATTTATTCAGCCAAAGTGATAATTTAAATATTTTAATGGCAAAAGTTTTACTCTTTAAATGAGAGGAGACACTGTTTCCCAATTAAATAAGACCTACTAAAGACAAACTGAAAACAAGCTAATAATGAAATAAAACTCTCTTCTCTTTTTTTTCCTGCTTATTCAAAAGGATGAATAAAATTTTTACTCTATTAATCTTACTCAAAAATTTTGTTTAAAAGAGAAAATTAATTTTCATTTTTGCATTAGTGTCTGCAATATTAAGGCCAATTTTAATGAAAGTTGACTGACAAATCTACTTAATCTTAATTAAACCATAGAATAAGATTTGTATGAAGTTTTATAATTTTTCCCTACTTTCTTATCCAGTTTGATTTATCATTTTATTCATTTATTTTAAACCTATTTTTAAAACTTTAAACTAGGGAAAACTATTTTTTCAGCAACAAAAAAAAATTTTTATGTTTTTGCAACCTT